CATTTTGACAATTAAGTCAATGACCAGACAAGAGATAATATGAGTGCAAGGCAGATGAGGGATTTGATTAGGGTTAAAGAATATCATACATTAATTGTTTTATATAGATTGCTTGATTATATAGGTCCAATCCAATTAAATAATTGACATGTCAATATGGGACCCCCTTCATCACCCACATACCATTTAATTTATAGATATCACATAAATCATCCAAATTAGATTGCAATTGCTCTTTTAGATTCAATTACAATAGTCTACCCAAATATATGTTCTTTTGTCTTAAATAAATTCCTATATTTAATTTCTCTCGATCCAATTTCGTTTTCTCTTAACAACAAATGTGAAATTTGAATATACATATGTATTGAAAACGCGCCAAATCCTAGTCAATCTTTCAACGGTACAACGGCTATATCTACATACATATATGGTAAGTGTAACCCTCTCCCAGGTTTACTTACCATATACAATACGAGGAACTTTCCTTGGATTCTACAAAATTGTTCTTCAGCTTCACGCACAAATAGATTATCAGAAATACAGCAGTTGAGAAGCAAAACAAATTCCAACCATGGGTTTGGAAATCGACATTGAAAGTTCATTTTGGAAGTGGTATTTTCACAACGAAGACGATGCCCGGAAAATCGATATTTTCGACTTGATTAATGCTTCCATTGCTGTTGCCGCTATAAAGAAACCAAACGAGTTTGTCTCAAAAAGGTTGCAGATTCTTGAGTCCATTTTAACTGCTGATTCTCAAGCCAAAAAGGGTTTGCACCTGACTGTGAAAAAATCAAGCAAAAATAATCAAGAACGTGTCATCAATCATGATTGTCAAGATCAAGTGTGTAAGGATGACGAAGGGGAGATATCTGTGGGGGAAAGTGATAAGGAATTTGCTGGTTTTCTTGAAAGAGAACTTGATGATTGTGAAGATCATGTCTCCAAGAATGATGGCGGGGAGATTTCTGTGGACGATAGAGATAAGGAATTTGCTAGTTTTCTTGAAAGGGAACTCGATGATTGTGAAGATCATGTCCGTAAGGATGACGGCGGGAAGATTTCTGTGGGCGAAAGTGATAATGAATTTGCTGATTTTCTCGAGAGGGAACTCGACGATGAATATGCTGAACTGACTGAATTTGACAATGTTATGACGGCGTCCCTCAAACCCATCAGCGTACGTCCCCAATTGCACGATTCCACGGTTCGTGAGCTTAAAGGGCGCCCCCAATTTCCAGTTTCCTCTGTTTTTAAACACGATATGGAATGTGGTGAATTGCGTTTCGACAAAGTCGTGAAACCCATTAATGTGCGCCCCAAATTGGAAGAGAAGCCACAGAGATTCCTCGGTCAACGAGTTTCAAAAGGGTACACAGAAACAAAGTACGAGGGTGGACAAGATAAGCCAAGGAAGATCGAGGTTTTAAAAAGATGCGGAGGAACAAAGCTCGAGATAAACAAGAAAAGGAAAATTGAGGAAATAGACGGAAAAAGAGCAATGGATTCACATGATTTGAAATTCGAGGCCACAAAAAGAAGATTTGACGAAAGAACTCAGCAAATTGAGAAAGCCAAAAGAAGGGTTCGGATTTTGGACTCAAAAGAAATTGCCCAGCAGCCCAGGCTGGGTCGCAATGGCAAGCCAAAACAAGGGTTTGGAAGCCGTATGAAGAAGATACAAAAATCAAGGTTCTAGGCAGCAATATGATGTCCTTTTTGTGATTTTCTGATATGATTTGTGTAGCTAGAGAATATAGAACCCTAAACTTGTAAATTCAATGAGAAAATATTTGCTTCGAAACTTGTAAACAAGGGTTTGGGAGCCGTATGAAGAAGATACAAAAATCAAGGTTCTAGGCAGCAATTATAATGTCCTTTTGTGATTTTCTGATATGATATGTGTAGTTAGAGAATAGAAAAACCAAAACTTGTAAACTCAATGGGAAAATATTTGTTCGATTTCCCATTAGCTACGTCAATGTATCATTCAACCTCGAAATATTTTACTGTTTAGACCATTCGCATTTCTTTTTGATATCTGTGTACCAAGTTTGCTTTTCTATTTGTTATTTAAGCTTGCTAGTTAAGATAATAATGTATTCCTACTTGTTACTACACACGCACTGAATAAAGCACCTTACTAATAGTACATACCAAGCATACAGTGAAATGATGAGCCCATATATATATAGCCAGAGAATGTAGTAGCATGAGATATAAGGCACATCGTCAATGTTGTACTCAGAACTGAGATTCAAAGATGATTTCTGTCAATCAGTGTATTGGAAAAGGCATGTTCTTGAAAATTGAGCTAATGAAAAATGATACATGAACTAATCAGTCTGTAGCCAAGCATATCCTAATAAATCGATACAACCATTCCTAGCGAGGTTTCTAGACTAACAGTTCTGGAGTTTATGGGGACTGAATGTCAGACTGAGGGTTAGGAAATAGGTGCCTTTCCATGCGAATTCTGTAATCTGCTAGGGTGATGATGGGAGTTTTTCCCAATTTTCAGGATAAAAAGTAATTGGAAATTGTCACTCGAGGCTTGCAGGCCAAAATATTTCTTTGGTCTTATCAATCAAAACTTTTTGAGAAGGTTCTTCTCTTTGCTGCTCATCATCGTAATTGTCGTCAACATAGTATCGTACTTGACGGAATTCTTGCCCCTGATATGAGCATGTCAGAAGTAGTACAGTGACTCCAATAATGTCTTCTTCATGGATCTTTAATGGGTCTGGGGGATCAGCCTGGGGAATTTTGAGAAATAGTCATGCGCGGTTCAGTAGAAATACTGAAACTAAGGGCTTGGTACATGAAAAACAAACGTAGTTGCTAACATTAACGGGATCGACAAGCAAAGTTTCTAAAACTTGATGGTAAGTTTAATCCTCAGCCAGTCCCACATAAATCAGCTTCCATTCCAAATCTTTAATGAACTTGAAAGTTGAAACCATTACATGGTCAAAGAAATTACCTCTCTTCCTCAAATTATAGTTAATATTAAAAATCAATGGAAAGCTAGGACAATCATTCAGAGATAAACATATAACCAATCAAATTGGAAAGGGCGCATGAAAACAGATCCATTTACAATTCAGTTCTGCTCCGAAGTCAAATTACAGAGATGCATGGATATAATTGTAGAGTGGGGTGTTGATGAAGAGAACCAGTGTTTGACACAGAAAAGTTCCTTCTGGCTAACTATATTATTGCAATATAAAAAGTTGTTGTGGAATTGTCATGACATCAAGTGTTTGCAACTGTCAAAACTATTCTCAATTCTGTCAAAATATTAATATTAAAATAAGAATGCTATGAACAGTGCATTCTATGTTCTCTTACAAACGCACAAATTCTTGTATCACCTAAAAGTAGTTTTGTTTGGTGAATACATTCTATCCATTATTTTTTGTATAATTAGTTTGGTTACAAGAGCAGTTATCATTTAGTTTTGGAGGATTGGAGATAATGAGAGAATATCTTGATGTTAATAGCATTCTTAATGGAGTTCACGCGTTTGTTATATCATCATTAAGTATTTCTTAGTATCAGCAGTAAGGAGGCTTTTGCATGGTATCTACTAATCCGCAACTGGAATACTTCAGGATACCTGAAAGGTTTTTAAACTTCTTTTCCCCTGGTAGAAGGCTCCCATTGTATTCTAAGGTTCAAATCTTGATTGGCCACTGAAGCAATGCAACATACATTTTCAGTTTAAATAGTTTCATTCTTACCAAATTAGTCTCTTTAACTAATAATATGCAGTCATCACCTCAAGTTTTTGAATTTTCTCTTAGATTGAACGAAGTAAGGAATAACTTCTGGCTTATGCAATAAATTTATTATGCGAAATAATAAGATAGAATACAGCACTTAGAAACTGAGATGTAGCAGGAAGAAAATCTTCGTTTACTTTGCTTTCTTTCTTGTTAAAAAATAATGACTTCATAGGTGAGCTATTTAATAATTGTTTGTTCACTGCACTGCATTTTACATCTAATGTAAGAATTAGGAACATATTTAAAGCAGATAGTATTATTGTTGGACATCTAAAATTTAATTATCAATTAAGCTTCTTACTTTATATCAAAATCCTTTTAATTTCAAATTCCATTTGATTTTTTAGATTATCTCGTACATAAATAAAATTCCAACGAAACTCTCATCACCAAAATCATATTACCCAACAATTTTCAAGCATTTCAATTAATCAAACTCCAAGAAAAAACTTTTGAATGGATTTTTTCCCCAGGAAAAGAGTGTGTTTGTTAGTTGTTAATTTCAACAATAACTGGATACTCAAATATGAATAAAATTGATTGATTTCTAAAAAATCACATAGCTAGAAAGCCTGTTGCAAAAACTTAAAACTAAGATCCAAAAGCAAAAAGATAATCGGGCAGTTACCTTGTTCTTTATATAGCTGTAGACTGCTAAACAATTCATTTCACAACGTGGGTTTTGACTTCTTAGTGCAGCCATGGCAGCATTCCGGCTTCTTTTCTGCTCTCTCTTCCTCTTCACTTGGATTAACGCAATCTCATCTGCGACGAACCCAGAAGACGGTAAACATCTCTTAACATTTTTAAGTGTGTATTTTTTATCTTATGAGAGTTGGTGGGCACCAAGTGGTTCAGTTTATGTTTCTTGAGAACTAGAACCGAATCGACTAGTTTCGGCATATTTCCGGTCTTGTTCAGGTGGTTGCAGATAAAAATGCCCACCCTACTGCGAGTTGGGCATGTTGAGATGTCGAGTGGGATTGACCTTTAAGACTCCTATATGGGAGGACATGGTTCAATTCAATTAGATCACTAAATTTAAATTTAAATTTAACCAACCGGTCACTAAAGTTCAATTTAGTATTCAATTTCACAAATAAATCACATACCATACAAATTTATTTCATTCACAGACATGGCATGTAATTGATATTCTACATAATTACTATGCGACACTGAAAATGAAGATTAATTCATGTCTTTTGATAAGTAGTTAAAATGCTTAAAATAAAAAAAATAAAAAAAAAACTTTATGTTATGGTGTAATGGTCGATTAGCATGTCACGCATTGATTGCGTGAAAAATCCAAATTAATATGACAGTCAATTAAGCAATTTGAGAAACATCATGTGACGGACGGGTGAAATTGTAAAGTAAATCAGAGTCAATTACCAAATTTAAAACTAAATTAAAATTTTGTTACTCAATTTAAAATAAATTGAAGTTCAATTAACTTAGTCCTTGTTTGGTAAATTTGTTGGGTTTTGATATTTAATAAATCCTGAACAATGATGTTAAACTGTTTGAATTATATTTCATAGGTCTCGACTGATGAGTGAAATAACTATCAACACAATCAATTAAAAACGGGTCATTAGTAGCAATGTAATTAATTAAATGGAAATGTCACCGGGTACATAAAATTTATAAAAAATTCATTTTAACTTTTTTAGTCAAATATACTGCAATATGTGCAGTATAAATAAAAATGTAAAATATAATAAATCCCTTAGTTAATATAGTAAAAGCTGAAATCAAGCCTCCAAACACTCCTCTTAGCCCGCCCCTAATTCACGCCACAATTATCCCCAATCTTCCAGATCACCATTACATTGATGATCCAAGAATTTGGTGAATCAAAACCAAAAAATCTTCAATACACTACAATTCATATCTCAATCTGTAATAACATTTAGATCAGAAAGAGTACAAGCGGAAGTGTTGAAGGCAAGGGAAATAATTCATATTCAAGAAGTGATTTTGGTATGTGAAATTTTAATTACAGTAACTCAAAAGACATTGAAATGTTTATAATTTTGTATGTTTGTTCTTAATGTATTGTTTATTCTGATTTATTAAATATTTTTTGTGATTCTGTTGATAGATTTGAAAACTTCTCTTTTAAATATTATCAACATACTAAGTTGGTCTTGTGAGTCTTGCTCATTGTAAAATGATTCATGTGCAGATGTTAAAGTCCAAATTCAATGATGATTGATGATGTGTATGTTTTGTCAGTTTTGATCACAATGTACAAGAAATGTCGTGATCTTTGTTGCTGCCAAAAGAGTGTTTGATAGGTTTCTGCATAAAGATAGTGTGATGGAATTCTATGATAACAAGTTAAGCGCAACACGGTTTGGGAAGAGAAGATCTGTTTCAAGAGATGTATTCTTCAAGCATTGCTGTAGACGATGTTATATTTGTTGGAGTTCTCTCGGCCTGTAGTTATTCTAGACTACTCAAAGAGGGAAATGAGATCTTTTAAGTCCATAAAATCAAAATATTCGACAGAGCCCTCCTCAAAACATTATGCTTGCACGGTTGATTTGTTGGGGGCAAGATGGTCACTTTAGTGAGGTTATGTTTCTTGTGGCGTTCACAATCTGAGTGACGTTTATAAACTATGTAATCAAGAGGTCGATAATTTCTTAATTATTGGTTGTTTGAGTCATCGTTTGTGAATTAAATCCAAAACCTTGGTTCAATTGGCGTTATTGGGATTTGGTTCAATCTCGTTGTGGGTTTGTAGTTGTCATTGCTACATGGGTTCACATCAGTTGGTATTAGAGATTGGGCTTTAAAATCAAGGTTATATCCCTTTTGCTCTTGTTGAGCCTTTGTTTTTCATTTTCCATGTTTTTGTTTTGTGTTCTTCGTATTTTCCAATTGTTGTTGAGTCTTTGATTCGTTAAAATTTCGAAAATTGTTGTTGGGCTAATTTAGCATCGAAATCAACTTCCATTTGTTTTGTTGGTGTCATAGTCAATTTTTCTATCTAAAGAGTCCAAAAAAAAAAAGAGTGAAAAATCGAAAAAATATAAAATATAAAATACTATTGTTGTCATTGTTAGATTATTTTAGGAATTTTCAGCCTTCTACAAAGTCTTAAGTCAATTTTGATATATCCCACCCCATCAAAATTCAAGAACCACATTGAGGTAGAGGAATAGAGAGAGATTGATCAATACATGGGATGAGTTGAAGGCAATAATGTGGAAGAGGTTCGTGCCAAGTCATTACTATATGGAACTCCATCAAAAGTTTCAGAGTTTATACCAGGGGTCGAGAAGTGTGAAGGACTACCACAAGGAGATGGAAATATTAATGATTAGGGTAAATGTGGAAAAGGATCAGGAAGCCACTATGACTCGGTTTCTCAATGGTTTGAATAGGGATATTGCTAATGTGGTAGAGTTGCAGCACTATATGGAGTTAGAAGACATGCTTCATGTGGCCATGAAGGTAGAGAGGTAATTAAAGCGAAAGCGGACGACTAAGTATCAATCGAGGCCTAATTCAACTTTGAAGTCTAGATGGGATGATGACCAGGTTGATGGGGCTGTTACAAATAATAAAGCCGAATCACCAAGGTGAAAGGAAGAGAATGCCAGCAAGATCACACAAAAGGTGGAGCCACATCCATATAGGAGTCGGGTTATTAAGTGTTTCAAGTGCTTGGGATCGGGACATATTACTTCTCAGTGTCCAAACAAACGAGCCATGATTTTGAGTGCTAATGGGAAAGTAATGAGTGACAGTGATGGAGATGGGATGCCTGAACTAAAGGATGCTAGTAGTGGTGGTGAAGTGGTCGAACATGCGGTAGAAGGGGACGTACTAGTGGTGATGCGTGCACTCAATACACAAATCAAGGTGGATGAAGAAGAGCAGCAACAGAAGAATATCTTTCATACTAGATGCCATGTGGAGAACAAGGTATGTAGTTTAATAATCGGTGGAGATTATTGCATTAAAATAGCTAGTACCACTTTTGTAGAGAAGTTAGAGCTAACTATCCTAAGCCTTACAAATTACAGTGGTTGGATGATTGTGGAGAGGTTAATGTGAATAAGAGAGTACTAGTGAAATTTTTAATTGGGCGGTATAACGATGAAATGTTGTGTGATGTTGTGCCTATACATGCCCAGCATATATTGTTGGGTAGACGTGGCAATATGATAGGAAGGTGAAGCATGAACGTTTAGATAAAGGTATAGTTTCAACAAAGATAGAAGATCAATTACACTTGTACCTTTAACAAAACAGCAGGTATACGAAGATCAAATGAAGTTGAGAGGTGAGAAAGAGAGAAAAGGCAATGAGAGACAAAAGAAGAGTTCAAGAGAAAATGGCGAGGTGGCTAAGTGTGAGAATAACAAAGTAAAGCCACAAGAGAGAAAAGAAAGGAAGCCCTCTAAGCAGAGAGAAAAGGGAAAAGTGAGCTTTTATCAGAAAAGAAAGAGATTGAGAGTGAGTCAGCGAGGACTAACAAATCCCTCCCTAATTTGAATATTTCCTTGATACAGGAATGTGAAAATTTGTTGCACAAAGACTTTCTTAAAGGAGTATCACCATTTGAATATCCAATGGATGCATTGCAATTGGAATATTTGTGAAGTATCGAAGAAGAATTATGCAATTGTGGCTTTGCAGGATTTCAAAATCCAAAACAAAGGTTGTGTATGGGTCTAGCAGATGGAAGGCCTGAACTGGAGTTGTGTTCATTCTAAGGCAGTGAATGGAAGAGGCGAAAAATATTCAAACCTGGTGATAGAACTTGGAAGAATCAACAAAAAGCACATGATCGATTGCAAAGGAGATCAAAGCTTCACTCAAGAGGAGACGGTCCATTCCATGACATTGCAAAGTTTGAAGGCAATGGAAACATATTTTGATCTTGAAATTTCAGATTCGATGATGAATCCTTTCGAGGAGGGGGGATAATATGATCAGGGATAGGCCACGAATTAAGAAGAATCTGATGATTGTTGGAAAGAGGCCAAAGCCACATTTGAGACCTCCAAGAGTCAATAAGGGTCGAGCAACCACCTAGGCAAACCATAGGAACCAAAAGAATGAAGTCCATGTGCCAAAGATCAAGTTTGATGTTGGGAACGAGAGTCGAAATAACTTGGAGGCGATGCAATTCAAGAAGCTGGGTTCGGGTCTATTGCAAGCCATGCGACCGCACAGTATAAATTCAGGGAAAAAATTTCCTTTTTCACGCGAGTTTCCTATTTCCATTAGAAATCTAATCTTTTAATATTTTTACCATATTTTGAATGTATTTTCCATTTCAGTTAGGTTATAGGATTCCATATAAATAGGATTTGTTTCTTTCATTGTATTGGAAGACTTTGATATAGAGAATTAATTGAAAGGCTTGTTTGCCTCCAAATCTTTTTGTTCTTTATTGAACAATTCAAACTTATCAAGAAATCAAATTTCTCGCGGCGTTCACAATCCAGGTGAGGTTTATAAACAGTGTAATCAAGAGGTCGATAATTTCTTAATTATTGGTTGCTTGATTCATCATTTCTGAATTAAATCTAAAACCTTTGTTCAATTGGCGTTCTTGGGATTTGGTTATATCTCGTTATGGATTTTATAGGTGCCATTGCTACGTGGGTTCACATCACATTATTAATAAACTATAAGAAGTAGAACGATGTTTCTGAATATTGCTGCCATAACATTGGAATATAATCATGCTGAAGCCAACAGACCACAAGGACATAAAGTTGTAGTACAAAGAATCCTATAAAAAGTTATTTCATAAAATTGAATCTGCATATATCAACAACTTATAACTTATAGCTCAGTAATACAACTAACTTACATCTTCTTTAGTGGCGGTTCTTGGAACAGATCCAACAAAACGCTTAACAAAACGAGTGCCATCAAATTGGTCTACAAAGTTAAATTATATAAAAATCAACGCAAAAACATAAAACTAAGATTAAACAAAGATAAGAACAATGATCAAGCTTCAACATTGAAGAAAATGGGCTCCACTGCCGACACCCATTGGCCGAAACTCCTTCGACCCCCATAGGTTGAAACCCTCCACCACCACCAATTGCACCACCAATTGGTCGAAGTCCTCCAGCACCAACACCGCCAACTCGCCAGAATCCTCTATTGTCCTCACCATCAAATTGTATAAATTATATCTATTTCCACTATCTAGAGTGGTAGCTCGGAGGATTATCAAACGGCCAATGGCTTTCCCTCCCACCACCACTTGAGAATTCGCTCGGATAATTTAACGGGCTAGTGTGCCCCTTCTTGCACTACCACGATAACCACTTTTTTCACCACCAACATTACCACCATCTGGGAATCGAGAGGAGGAGTGGGCTCTACTATTATGATGTAAGAGGACTGTCAAAAATGATGTCAAAAAGAGTGTAAGTGTAACATTGTTGTTGTTGTTGTTGTTGTTATATCTCCACTTCTGTGTATCGAATTTGTCCATCGAGAGCGCAATCATATTCAATTAATTACAAAAGAGAACGAGAGACAAACATCTAAACCCGTTCCAATTTTTGAAGTTAAGAAATATTGAATTGCAGAGAAGAGGATGAATTTTGAATGCCAAAGGTATTGGTTCAAAAAAAAAAAAAAGGGTCATGTTGATGATAAGAAATTGCAACACATGTCAAACATAAACAGTGCCCAAAGTTAGTCTCTATTATATTATAGTGAAAATGATACCCAGACGAGGGCTAAATATAGATTTTAACTTTCCACGTAAGTTGAATATAGAGCTTTTGAAAAAAGAAAACTATATTTTTTTGTCGACAATGGCCTTTTTGACTTTAATCATACATTCATTATTATAATCTTTAAAAACCCTCTCAAGCACACTAATTTTCTTTTAATCATCACGTTGCTCTCTGAAAATATGTATAATTTTTTTAAGAAATAATGCAAATTAGTCCGTTTTGGACGCTTCGTGTCAAATAAGACGTTACAGGTAATCAATTGTCCTAAAGTTAAAATATTGTTAATTTAATTGCCGGTCACTTGGCCCTCGCCAGCTAAAGTAAAATAATGTTAATGATGTGGCATTTAATTGAAATATTTAACTAGCCACATGTGAATTCTATTTTCCACGTAGACAGAGGTTATAGATGGAAGTTCCCCGATGAATGATGAAGTGCAATTTCATAAAGTTCACTTAATAATAAAGTGCAAACTAAAGTACAATAAGGGTCCGTTTGATTGAGAAGATGAAATTTGTGTGGAAAGAAAATGAATTTCAGAAAATTGTAAATTATTGTGCTTGATTGGTATAATTTTTCACATGAAATTCGTTGAAATAAAAATGTTTGTTTTTGTTCTTTTGACTTTGTTTTATATGAAAATTGTCAATTAAAGAGATAGATTTTATTTGTACTAGGGATAAATTTTGTTTCCATTGCCAAAAAATAAAAAATAAATAAAAATTCAAGAAAATCATCTATTTTTGGGTGTTCATTTAGCTTTGTTTCACATGAAAATTGTCAATTAAAGAGAAATATTTTTTT